GCAGGATTATTACATTTTTCCCTTATGCAACATGAAAGTATCACGATATGTATCGGTTGAGTATCGGTATCGTTCAGTGGTATCGGTATCGTAAAAAAGTCAACGATATGCATCCCTATGTAGTCTGGGTAAAGACAGCTGGAGGAGTACTCTAAAAGTTACATTCGGAAAAGTCATGGAGGGACCCAAATGTCAAAACATATTTATCCACTTTCGCTGGAGTTGTAATTATTACATTGCATTTAGCTGATGATAAGTGCTTGGTTAGTAATTCAAGTGGATTACTTCACACGATAAAACAAACACAAGTACAGTGAGTGAACTCTCTTATTTAGCACTAATCCCTCTCCCTTCCCCTCTGTGTGTCCAGGTGGACGTTAAAGACCCTCGTTTCCAGGCCATGTTCACGTCCCACCTGTTCAACCTGGACCCCTCCAACCCCAGCTACAAGAAGACCAAAGCCACGCAGAGCATCCAGGTGGAGAAACAGAGGAGGCGAGAGGTGGAGCAGCGGCGCACCGAGGAGGAACTCAGCGCTCAGAGCCTCCCCAAAACACAGGGGGAGAAACGGGAGAATGACTCTGAGGGCGCTGAGACCACCTCGAAGAAAGCAATAGACCCCAGTCTGTCTCTGCTCATCAAGTCCATCAAAAGCAAAACGGAGCAGTTTCAGGCCCGGAAGAAACAGAAGCTCATGTAGGACTGAGACTCTTCCTAACATCACAGAGAAATGTGGACAGCTGTGTTTATTCCTTTTGTATGTGTTTGTACAGGACAACTAGTGTGAGAAGAGGAACTGTGCAAACTTTTAGTAAAAACGTAACCCTGGTACATCAGATCCTGTGCAAATCTTTTATTGTGACTTAGAAAATCAGTTTTAAGAAGACATTTTATTATAAAAAATCACTTCAGGAGATTGGACATTTAGCAAGAAAAGCAGTCATTCTGATTAATTTATAAGCAAAATAACTGTTTTGGATTGGTCCTTAGATCTGACAAAACATCCTCTAGTCATTACATCCTCAAAAACATTCAGTAAATTCTCTCTACACACACATTCGTAGGGAATATAGACGATTCAGGCCTGCTGGCATGGTGCGGTTTAATGTTATGTCAAATAAGGTTGTCTCTCTCTCTTTGACTTTTACAGAAAACACATTAAAAGCAGGATGAATCCATTCTTGAAAAACGACCAGAGAGGTTAGATAATCATGTGGAATCAGAGGCACTTGAAATACATCTTCTACACAAGTATTAACATCTAAAGAACAGCAGCATTAGTGCAGAGGGATTTCGTAGCTCCTTTCAGACATGACACAGGATCTTGAGTTGAGCAAGTTGTGTGTGGACTGGATGTTGTTTACATATTATTATTAATTCAGTACAACTCACAACATTTTCATCCGGGCAAGAGAAAACAGAAGAGCAGAGAAATGCTCACTGCTCCAGGACGGTAAAGGATGGGTTTAAAACATTTTGCACACGTCTCAGAGGATATTTCTGTAGTGAGACTGCCATAAATCGGGGTCACATGATCATGATGTTAAACAGCATGGCGGCAAAAAGCAAAAAAAAGAGCTACCAGAGCTGCATGGAGAGTGGTGTGGTTTTTGTTGTCTGATGAAATTAAGCTGTTTCTCTGGCGTTACAGGAAGAAAGCGCTCCTGACTGTTCCACACATCCACCTAACAATCACTTTTCAACTAGTAGCTCTGGTAGCTTTCAAAATAATGTCAAGTGTAGATTTCTGTTGGTCGCCGTGCTGTAAAAACATCTTGATTGTATGGGCGTGGTAAATGCCAATGTGCCTAATCGCCTCTCTTAGCCGAGTAAAACATATTTGGTTTTGAGAAGGCAGATAACATGTCATGTCGGAAAGGGGTTTACATTCACAGTGTTTGTCTCCTACGGTCCGGGGTATTCAAAGACAGCCGCCGCTCCCATCCCAGTCCCGATGCACATGGACACGACTCCGTACGCTCTGCAGACGGGGGAACACAACAGTGGTTTGGACACACTTCAAACATGTCTCGTGTGTCTGTGATAAAGGAGATGATCAGACGAACCTCTTCCCCCTGCGTCGCAGCTCGTGCAGCAGCGTGACCACCTGCCGCGCCCCGGTGCAGCCCAGAGGGTGACCCAGAGCGATGGCCCCCCCGTTAGGGTTCACCTTCTCCACAGGGATCCCCAGGTGCTCCACGCAGTACACCGCCTGCGCAGAGGGAGGGACAGGGAGATGAAATAATACATGACATTGATTTACAGCTTCCTTTGAGATCATAATGACCTTTGTTCATTCTTAAGTTCAAGTTTGTAATAAATGTGCATCTCCTTAACACCTTAAAAAACACCGTCGACAGGAGCTCATAAAGCTGTAGCTAATAAAATCCATCAGTTTTCACGTCTGAACTCACCTGACTGGCGAAGGCTTCGTTGATTTCAAACACATCAATGTCAGCCACGGTCAGTCCTGAGAGGGGAACAGGAAGTTAGTCTTTGTAATGCTGATTCTAACTTGAAATCTTGATATAAATAATGTTTTTTTATTTAATCTTATATATCTCTTGCACACCAGCCTGCTTCAGAGCTGCAGGGATAGCGTACGCCGGTCCGATGCCCATCAGGTCTGGAGGGACCCCCACCACAGCGCTCGCCCTCAGGACCCCGAGCACCGGCAGACCCAGAGCCTCCACTGCTGACCGCCGGCCAATCAGCACGGCCGCTGCTCCGTCACTCAACTGGCTGGAGTTACCTGAGACACAAAGTGTGTGGGAGAGAGTTAAAACCAATATAAAAAAATATATAATTATTGGAATAAAAAACACAAACAAATTAAATAACAATATCACATCTAATTTTGTTTATATAGCCAAATATCACAAATTACACATTAGTCTCAGGGGGCTTTAGACCAAGCCTAAAGCCCCCCTCACTATGGAGGAAGGGTTTGTAGAGATTTGAACGTGTGTGTGAGACGGACCTGCTGTGGTGCTGCCGTCCGGTTTGAAGGCGGCCCGGAGTTTGTTCAGTCCGGAGAGAGTGGTTCCCGCTCTGATCCCGTCGTCCTTAGCAACCGTCAGCTCTCGCTCGGTCCCGTCCTCGTCTATAATCCTCGTGCTGACCGGGACGATTTCCTGCTCAAACACTCCGGAGCTCTGAGCCCGCGCCGCTCTGTGAGAGGAGGGAAATAAACACATGAATACTGCCTGGAGACACTGGGTACATAAGGGTATAATAAGTACTTTAATATATCAATATATTCAAAGTTCTATACACACACATGTATATTTACACGTAGTCTGTACACTTGCTTCACCACATATATATGCAGATTAGTGTATGTTAATTTAATAAGTAAAACTTCTGACTGATGTGCAATCATGACAGAATTTGCAATGGATCTTGAGGAAAATAGCGAGAAAAAATCTTATATCTTTTACATATCATTTAAGTTTGTCATCAATAATTAAATGCGTTGATGTTTTGAGGTTTTTGACTCACTTCTGCTGGGAGCTGAGAGCGAAGGCGTCCTGCTTCTCTCTGGAGACCCCGAACTTCTCTGCTACGTTCTCCGAGGTGACGCTGCAAAAACAAAGGAACACCTATAAAGAGTCCATTTTAGGGCAGATACTTTTGGTGACAATTTCTGCGTTATATATAAACTCATTTTAGGGCTCATCACAAAATTAAAGATTGGAGCATTTTGGAGATAATTAAAAAAAGCCTTAAAAAACTAATTTGGGGTTTTAGAATAAAGCAAATTCATGATAACTACATCAGCAAGAACATACCAATTTAGATTACAGCATTTTTGGTATTGTGATAATACATTTTGTGATTACACACATTCATTTAAGAGGACTATTACACATTTTGAGCTTGCACTAACTGTTGGTGGTATCTCAAAAATATATTTCTGGAACAATATGTTTTTTGAGATTCAGGACTACACGAACAAATCTGGGGATTTTGAAAAATATAATTTGTTGCTACCTTTTCGATTCTAGCTTTCTATTTAATACACACACACACACACACACACACACACACACACACACACACACACACACACACACACACACACACACACACACACACACACACACACACACACACACACACACACACACACACACACACACACACACACACACACACACACACACACACACACACAGCAGTGGTCTCACCCCATGGGCATGATGCAGTCTCTGGCTTTGTCGAAGTCCGTCAGCCTCGGGCTCAGATCTCCAGGATCCCCCATGGAGCGCAGCGACATGCTCTCCACGCTGACACACACACACACAAAGGACACACACTTTTATACTCTTACTGTCAGGAAAAGCACAATTTAAATGTAAAAGTTCAAATGATGATTTAACGTACCCACATGCGAGGCCCAGGTCGATGGATCCGCTCCTGATGGCTCCTGCACACACAGAGTAAACACAGAGTAAACATCTTCACAGTCTGTAGATACATTTATAAATATATATACAGTCTGTGGTAAACACACGGTGTATTTATTCGTTATGAAGTGATGAGAGCAGAGTTGTACCTGCGATGTTAAACAGCGCCTGCAGTCCAGAGGAGCATTGTCTGTTCACCGTGGAGACAGGAACCGTCTCTGGAAACCCGCTGAGAGATACACAGATTAGTAATAATTATATATTTCTTTTTCTCGTTACTTATTTTTTCTAATGTATTGTTACTAACCTTACTTATCTTAATGTAAGTGTTGTCATGTCAGTTGATGTCTTTGGTAGTTCATTATATAATTTAGCAGTGATGTCAAGTAAGTTTTTTATGTTATAATGTTTTTGGGGGTTGGTATTTTTTCTGTTCATGCTTGTAAATTATGCTGATGATGATGATGATGATGGTGATGATGATGATACTGACCTGAGGAAGTGAGCTATTCTGGCCACCAGAGCACCGGCACCGGGCTGCAGAACGTTACCTGCAGATAAAACACATTGCATTTAAAGTGTGTCCTACTTAAATGCTGCAGCTAATAAGACAAGAAATACATTTGATTGTATTCAATGTACTATAATATAACACAGAATACATTATTAGTTTATTATATTTGTGTGTGTGTGTGTGTGTGTGTGTGTGTGTGTGTGTGTGTGTGTGTGTGTGTGTGTGTGTGTATATATATATATATACGTGTGTGTGTGTGTGTGTGGTTTCTCCTCTACTTCATTCATGTTGCACTGTTGGAGGAGCCTGTGACTTAAGTTGTACACTGCCATATCTACACTGTAGCTAATGTGCACACGAGAATAAAGCCTTGAATCTCTAGGAGATCAAATCAATTAAGATTAAATCCGCTATTCAACAGGACAGCGGTCAAAGAACGATTTGTAAAGTCTTATCTCACCGACACAGATGTCTCCCAGTTTGTCGGCGGAGAGTCCAACGTCTGTCATCACAGCTTTCATCACGGCGCTGAGCATCTCGTCAGGCGTGGTGTCCTGCAGGAGACATTATATCAGTCCACCTCATGTCATAATTATAATATCATTCAATGGTGACTGGAGGACTGACACCACATCTCAGAGGGGATATAGTACCTTTTCCCTGCACTACATTTGTCTGAAAGCTTCAGTCCAGATGTGTTTTGTATCCTCTCCCTGTCCAGTGAAAACCATGCATGCCCAGATGTGTAGATGTTTTATGTAATAATCTGAAATGCTCCTTTATGTTGGAACATCATTACATTTTACTTAGCTCGTTCATTTAAGGTCTTGCCCAAGGACATCTCAACATGTCCTGAGGAGGTGGGCTCGATCTCTGTTTAGATTTGGGGGAAATGTTTTGGTCAAAAAGCTGAAAAAAGGGCTGTTTTTTCAGAGAAACTCATGAAAAGTTGAAGTTTTAGAGATACGCGGTTCTGACAGAACAAAGATACAAACATAAAAGGATTTTTTACGATATGATGCAATGCCGTAGATTAGATTAGAGTACATAAAGGTGTTTAAATGAGCTCAACCTTAAAGTCTACAGCAGTAAAATGCAAAATACACATTAATGCAGCGGTAATATTCTTATAAAACCTCATATTTAATAATACTGGGAACATCTTGGTGCACAATGAATACTTTACTTTAAGTGCTTTTTGTTAATAACACTTACACATGTGACGGTTAAGGTTATGAATGCAGGACTTAGTCTTTTCAGTACTTGTAATTAAGTTGTGAATACTTCTTCCACACAGGAACACAGTTGCACAGCTTTAGTAACAGTTTCTCTGCTTCATGATTATCTGTCCCTAACCTTTAGCCCACTTGGCAGAAACATCATACAATAAAGCTTTATTTATATAGCACTTTTCTTGCAGAACATGTAGTGCTTTTCAAAATGGCACACATCACAAGTTAAAAATACACAACAAGAAATTCTCCTCAGATCAGATGTTAAGACATTTACAGATGAACATGAAGTAGTTTACAGATTAAAGTTATTTACTTTGAAGGCTCCTCTCTTCGCCTTGCACACAGCGGTCCTCAGCCCGTGAACAACCACCACATCCTGCGGGCTTTTGGTGACTATAGCCCCGCAGTCAGACCTCCATAAGTCCCGCCTGTGTTCAGAGGATCCGGGGGGAGACAGGTGTCCCGAAATGATCTTTAATCTGTGCATTACGACGATTAAAAAACGGTTTGTATTCACAGATCTGCACGGGCCTGTTTGTACTCTGCTCTCTGCTGTCAGGAGGACGGGGAGCGCGGAGGGACAAACTACAGCGAATCGAGAAAAAACCGTTTTTTTAATACTTCAATCTTTATTTAAAAACTTTAATATACACAACAATTGCAGACATGTATTCAACATAATGGTAGACAGAAAGATGAATAACAATGTATGTGACACTGGTTTGAGAATTGAATAAGGATACATATACTTCTATAGTATTTCATTATAAAGAATACCCACGTTTTTAGAGTTTAAAAGTATTTTATTCCCATAAAAAATCATTTTCTCTTTAATTTTTGGTTATTTTGCATTAATGTTTGTATAATGTATACATTTTATTTTTACTGACCTGTATTATCTTTTACATAGTTATAGATAATATTGTTGACTTTATGTTGTATTATTTATCTGAATCTTCAATAAAAGTACTTAAAAATTGTATTTGAGTAAATATTTCTTATTGATTACGCAGCTGCTGTTTTTATTAACCTCTCATGTCTACCAATGAGCTAGATTAAATTCCTTTTGTGTTAGAAAACTAGCTCTTTTATCCGTGCATAGTACATTCAGAACTTTGAAAAAACAGGTTCTGATCAATACATAATGATTTATTGTTGTTGTAATATTGTATGAATCTACAACAAAAGTATCTCAAAGTTAAACTGAAGTAAATGTACGAGTACTATGCTTGATATCACAGCATCTCTCTTTATTTCTGTCTCTAATGTCTGTTCATGGATTCATTCAAAAAAACTCCTTGAATCACATGTGTCAAACTCAAGGCCCGGGGGCCAAATCAGGCCCTTGGTGGATTTAATTTCGGCCAGCAGGATAATTTCTAATTACTATTAGAGATATAACTTTTTTTGTATAAAAAACCTACAGAAACAAAGGGACAATAGACTAGGTTGGTCTTACACGTCACCTCAGCCTACCGGAAATACTTACACAACACTTTGTAAACCTTTTATTTTCCAAGTCTACATTTTGACAACCCAAAAAAGTAGGACGTCTGTGAGCACAAAAGAAATTCATGTTAAATTTAACAATGAACGATGGCATAAACACAACTATTTACATCGACTTTAGGTAAATTCCGTCCCACCAGTTTGAGTTTATGTGTCACCCGGTTCTATTTTTTTTAACCCATGAACTACGTAGGTACACTTCACGCTCTTCTCCGCGACGCCTCCTGAAGTCGCCAAAGTTGAGCAAATGGAACGCTTCCTCCGCTATGTACACTACTCCCTATTTGCTTTGCGTAACTAAAAATAATAGGCCAGATTGAGACCTTTGACCTTGTTTCGAATTACTAAGATATTTTGTTGTAATTTTGTTAATTTATTAGTCTAACGTAAGTAAAGAATTACCGAGATAGACGTCGAAAAAGGTCTCAGTAAAGAATACTAATTGTCAAAAGGTGTCGGTTTGTTGTCGAAGGTTTTTTGATAAAGGGAGGTTCTCGCTTTTGGTTTGTACGGCACAACAGAGTTCTTTGTTTCACGTCTTCGCTTTGTAGGTAATTTGAGTCACACGCGGACACTACGATCGAGTCTTATGAACCGTAGAGTAGAGCCCACGTTCAGGTAGTTACAGAACCGCGAGTCCGAGGACTCGACTCCTCTTGGGAGTCCTACCTCACTTCCACCACGCACGTTATATGGC